CTGAAGGGCCTGAAAAACGCCTTCTCTTTCCTGAGCCAATCTACTGAGAACATGGTCTTGTCTCCGTTAGACACCGGAAGAGGAAGTGAGTGAAGCAAATCCACGCACATTTCTTAGCTTGCCCTTGCCTGACAGAAGGGGCAGGGCAGGCCTGGGCTCCCACGTGGTCTGGTTCCCCTCAGTCCTCACCTTGATTCCTGGCAGGACCTGGGATCCTGCCTCAGCTGTCCTAAATCCAGACCCCAGACCAAGACTCTCCCCTTCCTGAGACTGCCAGTCTGGAAATGAGCAAGGGCTCAGCCAGAGACAACTGCCAGGGAATTCCAGGGCTGATGGTCAGAGCAAGGCTGATTTCTGTGGGGCCCCCGCTTGGTTCTGGGAATTGAAGTATGCTCACGCCTCCCACGGCGTCCTCACCTTGATTCCTTCCAGGATCTGGGACTCCTCCCACTGTAGACGAGATGGGGCCCCTGGGATGGCCTAATGGCGTCCCCTCAGACCAAGGTCCTCACCTTCCTGAGACTTCAGCGGCAAAATGAGAAAGAGCACCATCTGCCCCCACCCCTGCGCAGTTCCCCCAACAACTGAAAGTGGAGCCTGGCTCCATCTGCTCTGGGTATGGGGTTCTCTGATCTGTCCTTACCATTATTCCTGGCTAGGCTAGAGCGGCCCCCTGCTGACCTGATTTCACTCTGAGTAAGTGTCCTTAATGGGGTCACCTCACAAGAAGCATGTGGCAGAAGGGAGGGCAGGGCACATCCAGGCACCCCTGCCTGAGGCCCCCGAGGATGAGGACAGGGACTCCCACATGTTGAATGGCCTCTTCTTTTCTCAGGGAGCTCACAGCTGCAGTTCTCCCCAAGGAAGCGTTCAGACACTTCCAACCATGGCTAAACCTCGATTCCTCTCTTCATGACCTGATCTCATCCATTCTGACCAAGGCCCTCAACTTCCTGAGGGCCCTGGACAAAAGCAAAGGGGGACCCAGTTCAGTAGACCCATGTCAGAGGTCTCCCAGGGCTGACAGCAACACACAGCGCATTTCAGTGGGGCCCCCATTGCCAGGGGTGGTGGTGCCCTCTGTCCTCCCCCAGCTTCCCTGTTACTCCTGGAGGGCCTGGGCCGGTTGTCTTCTGCGATTCTGAGAAAGCAGAGTGGAGGCCAAGGCCTCCGTCTCACAGAGACCCCCACACAAGGTGAAAATCATGGACAAGAGTCTCCTGCTGTCCTGCCAGGCCTTCCCTGCAGGGGTTTCTGGTGTATGTAGGGGGAGATTTCCTGCCTAGAGCGCAACCCCCTGAGTCCTCCCTCCGGGTCCTCGCCTTGACTCCTGGACCCTCCCCTCTACTGTCCACATGCCATCCTCCTCATCCAATGTCCCAAGTCTTTATGAGACCCGGATGTGGGGTTTAGGACATGCTTCTCGATGTCATGCCGCCATGGGGGCTCCAGGACTGACTCTGTTCTGGGGTGTAAGGTCACTCTGTCCTCCCTCTGGGTCCTCATCTTGAGCCCAGGCAGGGCCAGGGACCTCCCTTCTGCCACCCTGAGGCCCTCCTCCTCATATCAAGTCCTCCGATCTTTCAGGACCAGAGGCAGTGGTCAGGAAACAAGCATGTGGGCATCTGGCTCTGGAGTCGGCCAGGGCTCACAGCAGGAGCGGGATTCCCCTCTGTGGGGTCCCCTCTGACCTGGCATCCAGGGTCTCTCAGCCCTCCCTCTGCACCCTCAGCTTGGTTCCCAGGTTGCCCTGGGACCTCCAATCAGCCATTAGTTGTCGTCCCTCCCCNCCCAGGTTGCCCTGGGACCTCCAATCAGCCATTAGTTGTCGTCCCTCCCCCGGCTCATCCCACAGCCAACAGCAGGTATGGGTTTCTGCGGTATCCCCTCTTTTGTGGGGCCCTGGGTCCCCTAAGTGTTCCCTCAGGGTGTTCAACTTCACTTTGGCAGATCCTGGTCCCTGCCTGATGGCCTCAAGCCCTTCTCCTCACACGGAGCCCCCCGATTCTCTCCACCCGGAAGTGGCCGTCAGGAAAGTCGCTTGCGGGCATCCCGCGCTCTGGGCCTGCGAGGACTGACCGAACGGCGTAAAGGGTCCCCCAGCCCTCACCTTGGCTCCGGCAAGACCAGGGATCGTCCCCTCTACTGCCTGAGGCCTTGTTCCTTTTACCAAACCGCCAGGGTCTCTCAGATCCCGAAGCAGAAATCGGGGAAACGCCTTGTGTAGTCATCTGCCAGTAAGGCCCACCAGCATCGCTCCTGTTCTGCGGTTCAGGGTCCCTCAGCCCCCCCTCTAGTCCCCACCTTTATTTCAGGCAAACTCTGGCCCCCCCCACCCGTCATCAGTTTGCTCCCCTCAGAACTCTGTCTAGACTCCCAAGTTCCCTCAGGAGGTGGGGGTGGGTAGTGCGCTGTGGGGGAGGTGTAGCGCTCCGCCTCAGCGCCCAGCCCAGGTGACTCTGGGCGCCGATGGCAGGGCAAACCTGGACGGTGTGGGGCCCTCAGTCCTCCCCAGGGTCACACCTTCAATCTCTGCCGGACGGGACTCCTTCCCGCTCCAGGCCTGAAGCCGGCGTCGCACACACAGTCCTAATGGCTCTCAGAATTCTGAGGCGGAAGTCAGTGGACCGCACATCCTACCAGCATTTCTGGGGTCCCCCAGCGCTCACAGCAAGGATGGAACTCAGTTACGAGGCTGTCCTGCAGCACTCTTTCTGGTCCCCACCTAGATCCAGTTCCTTGCCCTCA